CTACCCACTGGGTTCCGATGTCTTGATATCGTATTTGTGTCTCTAAGGGAGACAAGCGATGCTGGAATTTTGGATTGGTCATCCATGACAGTTGAGTTAAAGCTATTCGACACAATGAAGGAGTTAGATTTATAATCACAAACTCGAGCTATTTTCAGTTTTTTGGTTTTTTAAGTTTGAGGAGTGTTATGGAAAAGAAGCTGTTGGTCAACTCAGGGTCGACTGACGAAAGTATCGGGCATTAAGCAAAAGCGAGGTTCCCCGCACTCCCTTATGGTTATGTTAGGGCGGCCCAATAAACTATTACAGTGGAACCTCCTAAATTTCCCGCCTCCCGAACTTCCAATGCTCCATCAATTCCAGTATCTGTAGATCCACCATATCTGATGTATGGAAAATCACTCTGAAAGTTCCAAGTCTCTTATAGTTACCAATTCCAGCATATCCAAAGGGTCTTAATTCCGGGGAACCCCTGTCCAAAAGAATTTAGTGCGGGAGTCTCGTTTGTCGAAAGAAAAAAAAGGGCCAAAAGAAGAGAAACGGAAGAGAAAAAAGAGAGACGGAAGGGAAAAAGGAAGATGTCCACCATCCAAAAGAGTATTTTGTCATACTTTACTCTAGACAATACCCTGTAGTTGATCTTACTGGTATGACTACGATTTCTTATTTGAATTTATACTCTCCCCTCAGTTCGTTGTATGCTCCATTGCTAGTAACTTTTATTTTTACCTCCGCCATCATGATATATCACTCGTTTTGACCAGTATTGTCTGAAAGCCTACATATGCCAAGCCCCCCCCCCCTCTTTTCCATCTCTCCCTTATTTCCGGCTCCCTGCTACTCCCAACGTACTGGAATTATTGGAGGTTCCACTGTAATCCAAAATTTATGAAGCCAACACTCAGTGCTCGTGAAGTAGATAGTTATGGTACAGAACTAGAAGAAAGATGTATCGCACAAAATACAGATCATGTTATGACACGATACCATATCCAAATATGATACATTATAAGGTTCCCCCATGGCTAAGAGGAATATTCCTGGCCTTAATATTACGACCTTAAGCCCCTAGTATGTCTAATGAATGAAAATTTATGACCACACCAGTACAATCACCTTACAGCACGCGCATCAAGAGATGCCAGTATCATAGAAGACTTACAAATACTCGCACAATATCATTCAATCCCTAAAAAAAAAACTCCAACCTGTCACCTAGGCCCACCCGGCAAACTTCCTCTATACCGACAATTATCAAAATACCCCCCTCCCACTATCCCGTATGATACTAAATTCTCTAGAGCTTCTCACGGGGCCATGTTCCCCACTCTTATCAACACCAAACAATGATTCTGATCCCAACACCAACAATTGCATTAATATCACGGCATTTTAAGCTCTAATTACTGGTTAGTCCGCTCCTACCAGTAGTCTCATGGCCAGGGAAACTACTCGCCCTCAAACTAGATATCCTTTCGGGAGAATGAATTCGAGCTAACAAATTCCTAAGTTACCCCCCCAGAAAGTGGTCACGGACCTCCAAGATTACGGACAGTGTATGATATTCTAAAGGTTTCACCATGAAACTAGGCAAACTATAAAGCAAAAACATTTCCTGTGTATCAAAATAGCCACCTGATACGCGGTGTTTAATAAGGGTATTAGTTACACACTAGGTCTTATCCCGATTCCACTCCTGCGTTCAAATTACCAGTGCAAACATTCACATTTCTCAAGTCTTCAATGAGAAAGCTTTCTTTCATCAGTTCCCCCCCCCCTATTGACCAGCGCTGGCGGACAAGCCCCACCCAGCTCAACTCCTAATTTACACTAATACCGTAGCCACCAATCGACTATCGCACGGCAACCACCATACTCCCATCTCCTCACCTCATTGACCAATTGCGGTGAGTCGAACCTCTCAACTTCCTGTCCCACGCCCTCCTGTGCGCTATGTGCAATTTAGAGACGCACCAACGACAGCCACGATCAAACGCCAAACGAGAGTGAGAAAGGCGAATGTATAAACGTACTTGTCAGAGCGAGTCTGACCAAACAAAGCCCAGCAAAAAAAACATTGCCAAAGACGAAGGGATTAGAATTTATAAAAAATAGGCGCTGGATAGGCATCAAGAGTGGGAGCCGACGGGAGGGGCATCCGTGAAGTGAGACGCAACAAACCACCCTCCGAAGGTGACAGCCAAGCTAGATTTAGCAAAGGGCTTCTACTATAATGAATGAATGAGCAATTAGCGAGCCTCAAGCACTCGCCAACTCAAATGAAGGTCAAGAGGGTAACCACGATTAAAACAAAAAGTCCACCACCGGGTTTTCGTGACGCTCTGATTCCCTCACGCCCATTTAAATTCACAACTCATAGGCAAGCCCGGTATTCTGCCAACCCAGTCCCCCTTTCTCCTCCATTCAACATCTGTTCGCTTGCCCACCGGTCCCACCGCATAAGCCGATTAACGCTGTGTTTATAATCCACCTGCAGGCCAGCGAGACATGACCTCGTGCCAGAAAACGGCAACACGAGTCATCACTCGCAACTGCCTCCTCGCCAGTATGATAAGTGCGGCACGACGCGAGGAGTTGGATACTCCAGGTCCGACACTTTACTGGCTCGAATCCTATCGTCGTGAGAGAGTGTATCCTGGTATCACAGCCCATGTCTGGGCTGGTAACGGAGAGGCAGTGACTCGAAGTATTGCATGTGGATATAAATCGAGCACGGTTGTCCGCCAAGCAATTAACCCATCTCAAGAACTCTTGGAATTCGATGTCTCAGGTGTACCTCAAATCCCCAGGTTTAGAGACAAAGGATCCTGAGAAAGATTTATGCTTTCCGGACAAAGAAGGGCCCGAGCACTTTTGGCACATCGGATCTCACTAACAGATATTCCAACTCCGTTAACCCGCCAAACCAAACCTATAGCAGGTTATCTCTGTTAATAATCTGATGAAGTATCAGTGTTTGCCATGGGCTGGGCTGGCCCACGGGTTTTTGTATGAAAATAGCTATCCTCTTAGGGTTTGCTCTAGAAAAAAAATCCTCTCAGCCACAAGCCACTTCGCATTGTTTATCATAATGAACGATCCACCCAATATGTCACCTGTTACCCCTGAAGATTTCTATCAGTCACTATGCAGAATTTCAGGCATTCTCCACAATTTGTGATCTTTAAGTGTGATATTTAAGTTATTGGGTATTAGGGCCTGGTAGGAAAGCAGGGCTAGTCATGCTAAAAACCCTGGCCTACGAGGCACCCTGGGCCGGGCCAGGCTTTGGTGAGCCTGGCCCATGGCAAGCACTGTGAAGTATTCCAAGGGCCCTCACACTATCTCCATATCCCCCGCCCCCCTCCAAAAAAAAAAGGCTTCCCCATCGACGCTACCAAATAATCCTTTTCGACTCAGCCGAGCCCCGCCGCCGCCGCCGCTCGAGTAGATCGAATTATGGAGTGATGGTAAATAAATCGCACGACAAATCCTCGTGTCCTTGACAAATACGCATCCCGTTCCCCATCAAGCTTCACGGTGCTCACCAACACACACCAAACTTAATACCCCCCAACACGGGTAGATTACCCATCGGGAATGCGGTAGGAGATATGCGGTTGCAGAGTTTGTGGCCTTGAAGCGTGCGGTTTAGTTGAAATATGCCAATCGCCATCCTGCATCAGAGAATCGGGTACCCGGCTTTCCGTGGTTCACCCTTCATGCCCGTCGGCATTGGGCATATGGCATTAGTTTGGCGGACTGTCCTAGACGGTTTAGGGTCGTAGGGAATCACGGAGGGTAACGGTGTTTTCCAGAGAGCCTGTTTCCTTAGAGTTGTGTTTCCATTTGGTTTCCGTTGTTTGCTATATGAAGATATACTTCTCCTAGTCTCTCTTTAGCTCATGTCTGCACATATTTTCTCCTGCACCATCCACTTTCTGTTGCTTTCAGCCCAGCGATTGCACTCTCGCCGCTTCATGCTTTAGTATTTTCACCAAACATAACATGAGAATATGATGCTATGACCGAGAGTCCCGGCAACAAACTGTTCCGCCAAACCACCAGCCAGGGGGTTTGCTTGGGGAAGAAACCTAGTAATCCTCCTGAAAAGAAATGTGCTGATAATTCAGGTACCAGCATTGTGGTCAGACAGATACCAGCAACGCAGCTCACAATGCACAACCCTTTAAGGAATTAAGCTACCATACCTATATCGGGTAGTAAAAAAACGGCCTAAAAGGAAGAATGCCCGAAAGGCGAGTCGAACGCCTGATCTTCGCATTACGAGTGCGACGCCTTACCAACTTGGCCATCCGGGCGGATATTGTTTGCGGCCCGGCGATAACCTAGTTGTAGTATTTCTTGTTTCCGAATAATTCCGTAGCATTTCGCTCCAGAGTCCTTTTCTCCGAGACCTCCCCCAATAAGATGTGATGATGATGCAAGTATTCAGCTCAACATTTTAATAGTTACCTGTGCCATACTAGCTCGCCAAATAGAGTATACCCGCACAGTATTCCAATTCTTCTTTTTTTGTGACAAATAGCTCCCTAAAATCTAGTGCTGAGCAGAAACAGAACGGTGATACCGCTTTAACTGCTCTCGAAGCCTCAGGCCCTCTTCTGGGGAGATCAAACCTTGCCAAGGTACTACCTAACTTAACGGGTTAAGACTTCTACGATAAGCAGGTAGCCGTCAAATGCCGAATTCAAAAGGGCTTACGTGGTTGCCATTGAGCCGCAGCAAAAAAAAAAAAAAGCAGACATCATACAGGTACATGGCAAACGCATGCCAAGGAACCTCAGCCCCGCGATACCCAACCCCCTTCCCCTCCTACTGACCCTGAGACCCTAAGCTGAACTGTGAACCAGTCCCCCCGTGCAACAAGCCTTCCCAACGAAAACCGAAGACACTTCTCTCCAGGGGAAAAGAAGCTCGCACATCTCTTTAGATTTTAACCGGAACCTCTCTTAGCAAAATTTACCCTAACCTGAACTATGGCTCAAGCTGCAAAGCGGATCACTCGGGTAACAATCACTGTTTGCCCACTTTCAGGGAATGAAGCTAACGGGTGTTTGTGCTGCAGGAGTATACCGAGATCGAGGCGAACCCTCCTCAGGGAATCACAATCCAGCCTATTGATGAGGATATGTTCAAGTGGAATATTGAAATTACAGGTCCCAAAGAGTCCATTTACGCTGTTAGTCCTCACAGTGATACAAGCTCGATTGCTGCCAAGTTGTAGTGGAATAAAGCTAACTCCAAGTTTTTCTTCTCACAGGGCGGAACTTTCAAGCTTCTCCTAACACTTCCGACAAACTACCCATTCAAACCTCCGGTTTTGTCCTTCCAGACGAAGATCTATCACCCCAACGTTACCAACGATGACAAGGGGAGTATGTGTCTTGGTATCTTAAGGAGCGATCAGTGGAAGCCCAGCTGTAAGATCTTGGCGGTCCTCGAGATGGCTCGCGGGCTATTAATGGAACCAAATCCGTGAGTCAAAACGGCATACCCACGATTCCGACTGCACCGCACCCGAAGTTTGAAAGTACATTGCTGACCTGAACAAATTCAGAGATGATGCCGTTGAAACCTCTATTGCCGAGCAATACAAGAGCGACAAGGCTGCGTTCGAGAAGACGGCCAAGGCTTGGGTCAAGCAATACGCAAAGTAGATGATTCGCGCATGTCAAAATGAGATAAACCAATAAATTCTTCATTCATTTCTCTTTCTACTTTCTCCCTTCTTACACACCAGTCATGGAACCACCGTTCGGGCCTCAGGACTAAGAATGGAAGTGCCGATGATGTCAGGGGGTCGAACGGGCATGAGCGTTCTGGGTGGATTCTTCCTCCCCTCCATTCTTCTTCTCTCCCTCTCTTTATTTGTGCTGGTCTTCCCTCTTTTTGCTCTATTGTTGTGTTCACCGGATTATTTACCCGTATACAATAGTAACATGTATCTCCACGATGGAAGAGCGAAAGGAGGGAAACAAAACGAGGCATTTCGTGTGGGCAAAGCGTGGTCCTTGCATCTTATGATATTACACAGTACCGCACACCATTGTCAAACTACAAATGCCCCGGACCGCCCGCCTGCCATGTACCCAAGTTGGAATCCAAATCCCAAGCAACATCGCTGACTTTACCACACAATCGTAATGCCACAAATGTCAAACATCAACCACCACCGCCATATATCGCTCGGAAAAAAAGGGCCGCCCCGATAACCCACAACAGCTGCCCCATCCGTCCATCCGTCAAACAATACTCGAGTACCATAGTTTGCACGGGCACTCTCTTTCCGCAAAGTAGGCTACGCACGCAATTGCGCCGTAGGCAGTTGTACAGTAGCCAAACGTTTTTACCATTGCACGGGTCGGTGGCGGGGAGGCAACTACGGTACGATACAGTACGGTACAGGAAGGGATGTCAAGGGGCCGGATGGGGAAAATGGAAGCCAAATCCCTGCAAAATTGATCCGGGGTCGAAACCTGTGATCGTAGGAATACGCATAGCGAAGATTACCGCGAGAGAGTGAGATTAAAATTGCGCTGACGGGTGTTTTACCCCGTTACGAGTTTCCTAGTTGCACAGTACTGTACGAGTACTGTACTCGAGTACAGTGCAAGTATCCAATATCGAAGCGAGAGAATCCTTTCGCCGTGCTGATCAAGTTCAGGAGGCGACTTTTTATGATATGGCTAGAAATTTCTCACGCGCATCGGCACTATAATACTCGAGTAATACCGCCGCCTGTCAGCCACGCTAAGGCTAGATTTGGCCGTGGTTTTCTGCAATTAGTAGGTCAGATGGTAAGTTCGTATATTTCGGTCTTTTCCGGATGCTTGGATGACTCAGCGGCCGGGTTACTTGTAGCTTTGGGAAATTATTCTTACTAGCCAATCGGGAGGTTAAAAAATCCCTCCAATACAGACTTAGCGTCCCCAGCAAGGAATTTTACTGTTTCAGACCGGCCGACCAAGGGATGATATGATGGTCGAGTAAATTACTGGCACTCGTACTCTCATCAAAAGGGGTGGGGATGAAGAGAAAAAAAATGCAAGGACAAAAAACCCTTGCATTTGTCTTTTTCTTTCTTTTTGTTTGCGACTTTTACGATCTCACGGTAGTACATGTACGCGCGGACGGGTTACTGGTACCGGTATGTGTCACAATGAACTACACGGGCCTACCTTGACGGGTACAGTACGGTACTAGACTCGTAAGAGTACTCGAGTAAGTACTCGAGTACAGTACGACGGTGGTCATCTGGGATCTCCCGATAACCAGGACTGCGATACTCGAGTACCGGTGGACTACGGCTAGCTATGACAGGTAGACCGCAAGGTTATCATGGGTACCGTGTTCATACGGTGGCATGTCAAATAGTACGGTACTGTGCTCGTACCATCCCGTGGTGTGGAGTGTCGGTAAATAAGGTTCAGGCTCTTGCTTTCGTTGATTGTGGTCCGGCACCCGTATAAAGTAAGGAGTTGGCCGGGAAAGGCTGGCCCAGAAAGCGTCCAGAATTAGACGAGTTTGCGTGCAGTACTCGAGTACGTGCCGCTTGCCATACTGTGCTCCTTAAAGGAAAGAAGGGATGAAGAAGAAAAAAAGAAAGGAAGAAAAAAGCTGAGAGACAGAATCGAGATCTTGGAGTGGCATGTGGTGCCTGTAAGGTACCACACGATAGCCGCCATTCACAAGTATGAATTGGGAGCTTACCACACCGACATCGTATGACACAGCATGGTACTCGAGTACTCGAGTCGAGGAGAGAAAAAAGCAAAGCGGGTGATTAAAAAAAAAATTGTTCTTCCCCCGTTCCTTCATCCCATGCTTTACTCGAGTAACTTACCCTTGGCATTCAGACTCCTCCTCGAGGCATTTTACGAACGCCCTTGACTAGCACCCACGGCCCTTTTCTTCTTTCCTCCTTCTTTCCTTCCTTCGAGGTTCTTTTCTTCCTTGCTGTGCATATGTACTGGTACCTGGTTTGCCCCCTTTTAAGCGTGGCTTGGCCGAGTATGGTGTCTCCATCCGTCTACAGTGCTTCGCTCCGGGATGGGAAAGGAGGAAGGGAGGAAGGGAGGAAGTAGGGAAGAAAGGAACGGCTGCTATTTCCCTCAAAGTGTTTGTGTTTGGCGGATGAACGAAGGAATGAAGGGCTGCCGATTGCGAATCCCTCCCTCTCTTTCGGCTGCTTTGAGTTTGATTTGGTTTGGCTTGGCCAGCAGCCAGGTTTGCAAGGTTGCAGACGTACGGTACGGACAGGCTACGGTCGTGGAGGGCAAAGCAGAGGCAGAGGAGGGCATTGTTAGACAAAATATTGGATGGAGGTGGGGGTGAGTTACTCGGTTTCATGAATACGCCTCGGCCCCCTCCGTCCGCCAGTCCGGTTTGCATCTCCTGTGTGGTGCTGTAATTCAGCAAGTCAATCAAAAGGAGGTGGAGAGAACCTTTTACCCCTCCCTCCTCTACGTGCACCTTTCCCCCCTTCCTCTCCGAACAAAGGCAAAGCTTAATCCGGCGGGGATTTCGCAAGATACGGGCTCGTAGCGTGTTGATGCACATATGTGTTCGTAAGAGGGTATAATACGGGTTCTATTAAAGTACTTGTTATTGTTCCTGCATTTGCTAAGGTTGGATACGGGTATTGAACCGGGTTGCGTGGCGGTGGGGTGTGTTGGGGTTCGCTAAGGCATGATAAATGTAGGTAACGGCATGATGCTGGATGTGGTCCATTCTCGGGTTTTCCGGATTTTCACGCGTTCGGTTTGAGGTTGGGTACTTTGCAGGTTCAGGGATTGGGGGCGCTGAAGGCGATAAACCAGCATTAGCGATCCAGCGTACATGTCTGGTGCCATCGTACCCTACTCCACAGTGCTTGGAGGAGGAGGAGGAGGAGGAGGAAAGACTTACTTCGATTGTGCTTTGGGGGCTTGTGGTCAAATTGATCGATCAGCCAGTTCCCCTTGTGCCAAGATGGCCGCGATAGGAAATGGAATAAGGGGATCGTATGGAAAGTATTATATCGGAAAAGCCCCGCGATGGGTTGGTTGGTTAGTTGTTGAGTTGGTGTGAGAAGGTCTCGTGGGCTATTACCTGAAAAGCAGTGGGGGAGGGCTGCAGGAAAATACCGCCTGCAGGTACTCGTACAGTACAATGTAAAAAGTGTTGCACTGCACAGTAGTCAAATGGTCTGGTGGAGTCAGCAGCGTAATCATGTCATGTCATGTCATTATAAAGTTTCTTCTACGTGAGGAAAAGGGAAGAAAATACAGCAGTTGTATCGTAGTTAGTCCTTACTTGAGCACTTAGATTAACCACCGGTGGACTCCCCAAACTGTGATTGCTTTTTACTACCACTTCCGACCACGATACCTTAAATGTTGCCCATGCCTGCATGCTCTGCTCGAGTACTGGTGTCATACCGGTACCGTACCCTACCTGCCGTCAATTTTGGGGCCCTTCTTCACAGACTCGTCCCCTCCTATCCTCCTGAGTGATGCCGGGTGTGATATTTCCTTTTTTCCTTTTTCCCAACTTTTTTTTTCTGCCCACTGTACCTGTACTCCCTGTACTCGAGTACTCGCACTCGCAGATTTGTGATGCGCTATGATACGCCGTTGCAAAAGAAACGCCCAAAAGCTGCTTCCCTAACCGTTTGCGGTAGCCCGCCCACCTAGCAACCAAAGGGAGAGAAAGAAAAAACAACGCGCCCGGTACTCGAGTACGAGTAAATGAACTGGATGGCGTGCGGGAAATGTCGCACTTGTGCGCTCACCGTTTTGGCTGCTCCTGGGTGCTCGTTAATTACCAATTTCCAATTGACAATGCGAGTGAGGGTGTGAGATCATGGATAGGCTCACAGCGGGAATCGGAGCGTGATTCCGTTGCAGAATTATGGAGGTGTCGATGCACCGGACGGAGGAATAGTTGATTGTTCCTGAGCTTGTGTAGCGTTACATTGACAGGACAATGCATTATAAACTCTGTATGGGGGGAAGCGGGAGCATGACAGGATTGTGGGGTGAAAATACGGTAGCGAATGATCGGTCGTATACCGGTATCGGTGCTCTTCGCTATTCTTGCAAAGGAGCTCGAGAGCAACTGATAGGCAGAAAGCTTTTTATTGTGCAATGTGCCATCAATGGTGGTGATCCCATTCCCGAGACGTTTTACTCTCGTGTCAGCGTTCCCTTTACTTTTTCCTTCCTTTCCAAGCTTCCATCCTTCGTCTACCGTACCGGTGCTTACTTTTTTTTTCCTTCGTTTCGCAAGGCATCATGCTAGGGACTCCGAAGAACCAAACGGCCTGGAGTTCCACCCTCTCTTACTCGAGTACAGTTTGATTGCATCACCGGATAGGTTGGGACCGAGTACCGTACTCGTACAAGTATATAATAAGTTGAAAGTTATGGACCACTTCCCGCCCTCTTTTTCCTTTTTTTTTTTCCTCTTGCTCTCACATTTTTCCTGGTTGGCGGGGGTTGAAATTTGCTAATGGCATGCAAAGTTAAATACGGTAATTGAAGATCTCCCCTCCTCCCTCGGCAGTTCACTAAAGCATAGCGGGAACGGTGGGGCAGGAGAACCCGGCATTTTTGATGGACCGGGGTTAGATGGGTGGGTTATGGGAGGTACCGTACCGATAGGGTTGTATGATAAGGGGCTTTCCGTTCTCTTACTGTACCATACAGCCCACAGTAGTCCCGGGAGATTGGGTCCTTGGTAATTCTTTTCTTTTCTTTTTCCCTTCTGTTTTCCCTTTTGAATTTCCCTCCTTCCCATTCCTTTGTGGGAGAAATGCTTGGATGGACCTGGTTTACCTTGGTCAAAATATGGGGGCACTGTTACTGTACCCGTAAATTGTTATGGGACCAGTATGTTATGGTGTGTGGAGGGCTGGAGTACGGTAGCTGTTATGCACTCCGCGAGGTCTGTATGTAAGCCCGAAAAGGCCAATCGTTTAAGCTAGTCGAACATCTGGGGAAAGACGAGAGGGAGACTGACGAAAACTGGGGGCCAATTGTTGCCCGGCATTGCTTGCTTGCACAGAAGCTTACAAGAGAAGGGAAGAAGGGAAAGAGAGAGGGGATGGAAAGGAGAAAGTTATTGTGGAGAACGATGCTACTGTACCGGTACTTTTATTGTGGCAATCAACTAACTCCATTCGCCACGCTCACTCACGCCCTGACACCATACTCCAATTCAGTTGAGTGGAGAAAAGTTGACGAGAGAGAAGGAAGGGGGGTTCGTTGTGTATGTGGGGGGTTGTGGGGACGAATACTCGTAGATATACTTCTTCCCGCGTTTACTGCCAGTTAGTTTGAATCCAGCACATTGATTCATATACTCGAGTGCCTCACAAATCTCAAGGTCAAACATCGAGAAGAAAAGAGAGACACTCGATTCTGCGCACAGACTACTGGACAGTTGCCCATACCGTGTCACTGGCTCCCATCTCAGCAGGGGAGAGAGAAGCAGTGACAGTGCTTCCCTCCTATCCTCAATCCTTCCCATCTCATTACAGATCCTGTCTGTTCTTCTCTTCCCTCTCCTCCCTTATCAGTCCGTGTCCGTCATTCCTAGGTGAAGGGGAGACGGTGTGAAAGGGAAAGAAAGAGATTCACGAAACCACACCACACCGCACTGCATCTTGCTCCGCAACCACGGCAACAACAAACACACCCAGGCCAGGCCAGGACAGGACCTAGGCCCAGAGCCCGGAGCAAGTAGCAGTAGAAGCAAAAAAGACTTGCAGGAGAAGAGGGGGCTGTCAAGGAAAGCCAGCCCTCCTCGCCCCATCCATCTGGTTTCAAAGTACACCAACCGATCTCCATCAACGAGTATGGTGATGCGGGCTGCTGTCTAATACTCCTCCCCATTTTTCGTGACTTTCTTCTCCACTATCTGGCTTTCCCAGAGCCGCCCCTTTCGTTTCTCCATCATACTCTGCGGGGGGTTACTTCGGTTTCTTCCCTCTATCGTTATTATTCCTCTCGTTCGTTTTCAACGCTACCATACCTGCTGCTTTCTCCGGAGCAACCACCAAACAACAGGGTCCCCAGCTGCCGCGGCAGCTACTGCTCTTCCCTTAAAACCAACAAATAAGGGAACTTGTCTGATCGTCACCCGTTTTCGCTCCTTGCATTCTTCATATCCTCTCTATCTCCGTCTCCCCGCTGCAAGAAAGAGACAAACAAAGAAAGAAAGAAAATCCCCACCCTGCCGTCCGGCCCCCCGGAGAGAGCCTCCTCTTTTTATTATTATTATTACCGCAAGTTGGTTGTTTCGTAACGAGCTTCTACGATGGCAACCTCTCCCTCGGACTCCCGTCAGCTCTCCCCTAGACTTTCTCCTCGGCCATCCCCCCGGCCTTCTGCGGATGAAGGTGTTCGGCTACTTCAACAACGAGAGCCTCATTCCCCTTTCAGGCCAGACGAAGAATTGCATTTTGACTTTCCCCCTGTTGTCCTCTCGCCAAAGGAAGTTACTCTGCAGGAGTACACTTATTCTCACCTGCCACGGGCCCCTGTAAGGAAGATGATTTCAGTTCCCGAATTACGAGACGGGCAACGGGGTCCGGAATTCCCATCGAGCCCATCCATGTACAGACAGAATTCAGCCGGTAGACCGAGCCCGAAGATGCGGCAGAGCTCCGAGGAACGTGGGAGGGATAACATGGGGGTTGGAGCGGAAGTGCTGTCAAAACAGATTCATAGAAGGATGATGATTGAACAGGAACAGAGTTGGGGCTCCCCAGACGGTTCGTCCGGCGGTCGTGATAGGTTGCTTCGACAGAAGAGCATGGAACGGGGAATAAAGGTGGGGTTACCACCGCCAGGTCATCATCCACAGGGTATGCGAGGTGTGAATGGGCAGAGTAGGCGGGGTCGAAGAAATGGTGAACGAACAGAATCGCCTGCGCCTGGTGCAGCACCCCCAGGGCTCAAGATGCCGTTAGCCTTTAATTCGATCGCGCGGGAGAGGGGATTCACAACTGGCTCTCCTCACCCTGGTGCTCCGGTGTTTTCTTCGCGAAATGGTCCTCCTACACCGAGAGGGTATCCTTCAAACGGTCCGTCAAGCTCTGCTCCTGATCTTTTTGCCAACAACGAGAACAGAAATTATCCTCTGTCGCGGAACGATCCTAGGAATCCACCCAGGTCTCATCCGCACATTCCCCCGCAACCACCCTATAGTAACAACACTAGCGCCAACACATCCCCACACAGTTCCTTTGGACCTCTAAGCGCCACCGATGAGGTGCGCACCTCTTTTCGCTCGGCTTTATCTGCTACGGGAGAGAATCGTTCCAGCACTTTTACCAGCTCCTCGGAGCTAACGGAGGATAGCCATGCTATGACTGTCGACGAAGCCATCGGAATGTACGGTAGTGATACTGACGAAGAAATCTCGGAACATCCTACTTCCGAGGAAGAGTGCCGGAGGAGCAAAGGTGACTCTGTGCTGGGAGGAGCAACATCGCGGCAAGGATCCGTGTCGGACGAGAGTAGTACGAAGGCAGAATCAGCTTTGGGTGGTGTATCGCGACAGGCTAGCTTTGCTGACGACAGGGAGCAATCAAGGAGGAGCGCGAGTGATTCTGTTTTGGAAGGAGACATTTCTCCATCGGTTAGGCCGAGAATGGTGGAGCAAGAGAGTGTCGTGAAGACGGCGCTAGAAGAGCAGAAGGAACAGCTGGAAGCGACCTATGAAACTCAGATGGTGGAACTTACTGGTACGGAATCTGATTTGAAAGAGGATCGCGGAGCCGACGCGAAAAGAGGTGAAATTTCTGGATATAAGGATAATCTCGAGCCTGAGTCCAGTGCTCAAGGATGTGGGCGACGCGGTGATCACGGAGAGCATGATACCAATTCATCTGTCGAACTAACTGCCACGGAAGAGACTCTTAAGAAACTCGAATCTATACCCGTTGGACCCAGGGCAAAATCTCCAACGGTTCTCACGGCCGGGGACCCATCAGATACACCACAGAAGAACCCTCCTATGGCTAATGGGGTGCCTACTAAGGATGCTAGGGATCGTTACGGGTGGGCGACCCTGCTCCTGGCTGGAATGCTTAATGCTAACCTGCCGTAGGTTTCGAAAACAAACACAATACGTGACTCTTCAGGAGTATGACGAGTGGAACACTCGCTACGAGGAAACCCTACGGAGGCGGCGTGGGAAGTGGGAGATATTGCTGAAGGAGTCTGGCTTGTCGCCGAATAGCGAGGGAGGCCCCGTACGATTCCCACCGAAGTCGACCAAGGTCAAACGTTATGTGAGGAAAGGTATTCCTCCAGAATGGAGAGGCGCGGCTTGGTTCTGGTATGCAGGAGGTCAAAAGATGCTTAACAAGCATCCTGGATTGTATGATGAATTGGTCAAAAAAGGTGACGGCTTGGTGTCTCCTGATTCCGAATTAATTGAAAGAGGTTTGCAGTACATCCAAGTTACTTGTGGTAATTCCGATTGCTAACAACGAGATAGATCTTCACCGCACCTTTCCCGATAACATCAGATTCAAACCTGATACTTCTCCAGGTGCTCAAAGACTCTCCAAGATTCAACAACAGCAGATGGAGACACCAATCGTGCAACAGTTGAGAAGAGTCCTGGTTGCCTTCTCGCTTCACGTTCCTAAAGTCGGCTATTGCCAGAGCTTGAACTTTCTGGCTGGACTCTTGTTGCTATTTATGAGTGAAGAGAAGGCCTTCTGGATGCTGTACATTCTCACTCACACTCATCTCCCCGGAACACACGAGGTAAACTTGGAGGGTTCAAGTGTTGATCAGTGGGTGCTTATGATGAGCGTTCGGGAGAGTTTGGCTGGTATCTGGGCCAAGATTGGCGGTGATCTCGACGGTAGCGATTTTGATCCTGACTCTGCGAGGTTACCCCCGGTTACTCTATGCACTTCTTCGTGGTTCATGAGTGGGTTTATTGGATCACTGCCCATTGAGAGCGTCCTGAGAGTTTGGGATTGCTTGTTTTAGTATGTCTTCATCCCCTGTCACCCATTTTTGACGCACGTGTTAATTTTTACGAATTGTAGCGAGGGATCTAAGACTCTCTTCAGGATTGCTCTTGCTATCTTCAAGACCGGTGAGCCGCAGATTAGGGCCGTAAATGACCCGATGGAGATCTTCCAGGTTGTTCAAACAATTCCAAGGCGCCTCATCGACGCGGGTGCTATCATTGAAGCGTGTTACCGCCGGAGAAATGGCTTTGGACATATTAGTCAAGAAACTATCGATCAACGGAGACAGGACCGCAGGGATGCTTTTGCAGCGGAGCGGGCAGCGATTGCGAAGGGAGGAGTCAGGGCTTCTAAGGATGATCAGGCGCTTCGGAATCATTTCGGTGGACCATTGCAACTTCACGGCCATCACGATTTTAGCAGAAAATTCAAGAAGATCTTGGTGAAGACATAGTTTGAGTTTTTTTTTTTGATCTTGATCTTGAAAACAGCTTTTTTCACTTTATATCCTCCTTTTGTTTTTGTTTTTGGGGGTGTTTGAAGGCAAGGCGAAGGTCTTTTTTTTTTTTTCAGATCTCTTCCTGTTTTTTGATCTCCTTTACTGCAACCAAAAGTTTGGTGTCTGCTTTATATTTTCTTTTTTGCTTTATTCCTTTTACTTTTGTTTCCTAGTTCCGGGTTACATGTTGGGGATTAAGTGCCGTAGGGAGGATATCACCAAGTGCCACACAAACGATCAAGTATGAAATGTAATTTCCCTTCTTTTTCTTTCTTTCCTTCTTTCCATTCTCCTTTTTCCTTCTTTCTTTCTTTCTTGGGGGCTGGCGGCATCGTTATCTTCATTTCTTAATCCTTATTGGTGTTTCCGTCGTCATGGTTCATCTTCATCAGTAGTTTTAACCCATTTTTCGCAGCAGCTTGTCTGTCAACCTACTTGTCCATACATTCTTATTCTTGTTCCCCATCCTTTTTTCCCTTTCTTTTTATAAATATTTACCTTGCATGGAGCTTTCTTCCGGGCGTTTCTTCTTTCTTCCTCTATTTTGTTTCCATTGAGAAACTTTATATATATATATACCTTGCTTGGCATCATACCTTTTTTTTGTTGTTTGTGTAGACGGTGCTCGAGATATCGTGCCGTAGAGTGGAGTGAAGGGAACTAGTCAAAATTGGTTCCACTGCCTTTTGTTTTTCTCTCCTTTTTTCTGTGTGTGTTGTAGTGTAGCTCTGTGGATAGATGAATAACATAGAATTTTTCGAGCTCATGCCGCTGGGGGGGGGGGGGGCGGGAGTCGGAGATGCTTTTACTGCTACTATGGTACTCGAGTACAAGTACTTGTAAAGTATTGTTATGCGGGGTTTGAGGATGGTGTGAGGGCTTGAATGTGTGAGACACGGGCGGGAGGGAGTGGAGATTGGTTCTCGGGTAGTGCCCGCTTGGCATATTATCGTGTTGGTTCAATCGCTTCCCTTGTTGCTTGATATCGGGGTGTTTCAGTTTGGGATGTCATAGCTCGAGTGGGTACCATACAGGACGAGTACTGTCCCGGCATCTGTATTCCTTAGACCTTGAAGTCGCAGCTTTGATAGGAGGGGAAGTGGGTGTGTTATGGATTCGAGCTTGGGGAAACTTTGCCGAAGTTTACTGTAAAGTGCGGTACTGTGGTTACTGTACTGTACTGTACAGCACAAGTACCGCTATATCATACCGAAGTGACATGCTTTGGGGATGAAAAGTTATCGCCATTTTTGCCAGATTGAGCGACTTACGGGTACAAGTGATAGTGCTGTGCTCTACCATCGAATCCCTCCAAACACTTCCCCAAATCGAGAACCTTTTTTAATTAATTTAAGCCTTCCAACTTGATTATACTGTCCCGGTATCATATAACCGCGATTCCCTGATCTCTAATCTACTCGTGCTGTACTCGTACTGTACGGTACTACCGGCGCGGTAGTATAACACGTAGCACAAACAATGCACATTGAGTGAGAGGGGATGACGGTAAACAGACAACCACGGCAACCCATGATATCATATTATCTTATCATATCATACCCTAAATCTCACGTGAGGCTCCGCTACATACATATCAGACCGGGACTGCATATCGTATCATATCACACTGTAAAAGCAATCAACCAACCAACCAACAAGGATTACATAACTTAACTTTTTCTCTCACTTTACACCCCACATTTTCCCCCAACGATAGCGACGAGGACGACGACGACATGAATATCGGGAGTCTTTTACCGAAGCCCTCGGCGAGGCGGGGTGGTGGTGGTGGTGGAAATAATGAGGATTCTCCTGCGGGTTCGGCGGTTGATGCGCCAGGTGGTGGTGGTGATGATGGCGGGCTCATGAGCCAGTTGAGTTCGAATCCGCTCTTCACAGGGGTAACATTTCTCACACTTTTGTCGTGGGGAGGAGGAGCCTGAGGCGCTGACGGGATTTATCGAAAGGGAGTAGGCATAATCCTCCTGACCGCGGCCGCACAACTCGCCCGCAAGTCGGTGACGAGCCTGAGCGCACACCTCCGCAACCAGATGCTCGTGACGCTGGAGATCCCTTCGACGGATAAGTCGTACGATTGGTTTCTGCACTGGATGTCGCAGAATTCCTCCTCATCCTCCTCTGCTTCCTCGCCTTCCCGATCGACGTCCGGATCGTTGCTGGGATGGTTGATGACCTTCCGGCCGGCCCCGCGCCACCTCGCCGTCGAGACAAAGTACGTCCAGCACGCCTCGGGCGGTATTTCCACCCACTTCACGCTCCTGCCCGGCACCGGTCGGCACTTGCTGAATTTCCGCGGGAACTTCCTGAGGGTCAATCGCGAGCGCGATGCAAAGCGAGTGGACCTCCAGCGCGGCACGCCCTGGGAATTGATCACCGTCACCACGCTCTTCACATCCCGGAGCGTCTTCCCGGCGCTGCTGCAGGAGGCCAGGGACCTGGCCGTGAAGCTGGAGGAGGGCAAGACGATAATATACACCTCCTGGTCGACGGACTGGAAGCCCTTCGGCCGGCCGCGGCGTAAGCGGCCACTATCCTCCGTCGTGCTGAAGCCGGGCCTCAGCGGGGAATTACTCTCCGACATAAAATCCTTCCTGAATTCTGCCCGTTGGTACTACGATCGCGGGATACCCTACCGACGCGGATACCTCCTCTATGGCCCACCTGGCACTGGGAAGAGCTCGTTCGTGCAGGCACTAGCGGGCGAACTGGATTACGGAATCTGCCTGCTGAATTTGAGCGAGCGCGGGCTGACGGATGATCGGTTGAACCACTTGCTGTCGAATATGCCTGAAAGGAGTATCGCCCTCCTGGAGGATGTCGACGCCGCGTTTGGCCGCGGAAGGGTCGTGACGGAGGAGGATGGGTATCGCGGCGCGAACGTTACCTTCAGTGGGCTTTTGAACGCCCTCGATGGCGTTGCCAGTAGCGAGGAGCGGATCGTGGTCATGACGACGAATCACCCCGGGAGGCTGGATGAGGCGCTCGTCAGGCCCGGGAGGGTCGACGTTAAGGCTGAGATTGGATACGCGGGGAGGGAGGTTGTGGAGGTTATGTGGGAGAGGTTCTATGGTGGGGAGAGTGCAGACGGGGCGGTCGGTGGGGAGGAGTTGGCTAGGAGGAGGGAGTTGAGGGAGGCGTTTGTGAACAGGTTGGAGGCGGCGGGCGCGTTTGGGGGCAAGTGGGGGGTCAGCGCCGCCAGTTTGCAGGGGCTCTTCGTCTATTTCAAGGGGGACCCCGAGGGGGCGGTGGAGAACGTGGGTAGTCTAGTGCCGGAGGGGTTTAGATGATTCCATGGGGGTAGGGGAGTTGTATATATGATATGTATTGTAGTCTTGATAAAATGTAGAAACTATGACACTCCTTTCTCTGACTACCGTCCATCCACCGATCCCATCACGCCGACACCCGACGTGCCTAGAATCGAGTCTTTATAAAATTTCCCCGAAAGTATCTGGAAACGTACAGTACAGTAGCGGTCACTCACTCAATCGGCGAAGTCAGTCTTGACAAATCCGCTCCCCGCCGCCTAGAAAATTTACAGTACGTCTTCTTGAGTATCGCCGGTACGGTACCTTGATAGAGTTCGTGGGTGGGCGGGGTAAGGTAGTCTAGCTTTTCACAAAATGGACTGTCATCATGGAATCTGCTGAAGTCGGTCCTTGTTCCGACTGGGTTCATCGGGGGATGATGGATTTGGGGGTGGCTATTGTTATAAAGAGTGTGATTTGGTTTTTGGCTTTCTGGCGGGTCCGGGTGTGCGTGAGCTTGGGGGGTTTTCGGATCTCTGGCATGGGTTGGGTAAGATATTTGTATGATATTCGTTATTTCTTGGTATGATAGTCTGTTGGGACTTCCTCATCCCAACTTTGAAGGGGTCGTGCCGCTATTCTATCCACGAATGATCCCCCATGACCCGTCCGGGCATCCAGTACTTGTATGATACGGTACAAAATATCAAGCAACAACAACCCCGCCATCAGTCTTTTGACCAACCAACCATCTGCAAACCGTACCCTACGGGGGGAACAAGCGAATCACCAAACATTAAACTCTCACTTTCCCCCCACCTCTCTGGCTCCCCTTGCATCTCCCCATTCCCATCCATTTTATCCCTCATTTCACCTTCAAGTGTGGTAACCGGTCATGATACGAGTACGAGTACCGTACGGTACTATTGTACCCAACGTCCTGCCAGCTTGCCTGTGCAGGTAATTATCTGCCGTTAGTGAACACGACCGCCGTACGGTACTTTACTGCATACCACCAAAATGTTGAGGCTCCGGTCGATATTTCGCCCATATGCGGTGGCGGCTGTGTTCGCAAACGTCGGGAAACCGCGAGTAATGAATGAAGTTAGTGTTCGAGTGGGTTTGGGCCAATCTGTTATTCCCCTCATTCGGCGGTTACAGTAGTCTACCTGTGGCCGCACCTTTTTAACTGGCCTGCCAAGGGGGGCGTATTGAGTGTGCTCATATTGGGGTATTTTTTTTTTTTTCTTCGCGTGGTGATGTATGGGTGAGGGTAGAGAGGGTCGGGTCTGCGTTAGTGCTGCTGGCACTGGAGGGAGGGGTTATGGTGGATGGAGAGTCGGAGTGAGGAATTTCTTCTGGGGGGGTAGAAGTACGAGTACTGTACGAGTACAGTGCTACTCGTAGTATGATACTCGTACAGTACTCTGCGTCCTGCTGTAGGTTTACTGTGCTGTACGGTACTCGTAGAGCCCAGTGCAAGATGTATTTATGAGGGACAAGGTTCGCCAGAATCAAGGCTCACTAGAGTGAATTTTATTATCCATTAACTTATTGCTTTAGTTAATGTACTGCACTCTAGGCGGTTATGTATTGCGTTAGTCGGGTTCGGATTCAGTTCTTTCATTTATCATACGGCAACGTAAAGTAGGAAGGAAGAGGAGAGCAGGCAAGCAAGCAAGCAAGCAAGCAAGCAAGGGCGGGCTGACACACATGAACCCCTAAATAAACCAAACTTCTCTCCCTTCCCTCCTCTCCCTTCCCCTTCCTCTTCCCTCCCTCCCTCCTTTGCTACACCCGCCAGCTCACGCCAGCGCAAAAAATCAAGCTACTCCCCCCCAAACGGACCAAAATCGTCGTCTTTTTTCGCACTCCCAATAGATCCCCTTTCTCATAGTCCTTCATGGAAGTTTCGCTCTCCCATAAAATTTCCGTTAATTCTTCTTCCGTATTGCACATTCCGGCTTTCCTGCTCCTGCTCCTTGCTGTCGCGCTACGTCCTTGAAGTGAATCCTGAAAGAAAAAGAGGGAGAGATAGTGCTTTCTATTTGTCGCTGAGGGAGACCTGTGGAAGATTCCTGTTTTTCCCTTCGGCTTGGTTGGCAAAGGACAAAGCGTACTCTCCATCCCATCCACGCGAGCAAGCGAACAAAGCATCGTGGCGGTATATATTTTCGCACACATGAACATTCGTTCTGCTTAACCCTACGGTGCGCATTGAATACTCGGGGCCAAGGGCAAAGATACAAGATTTTTCCCACCCCCTCTATCTTTTTTTTTTTTTTTTTTTTCCCCGTTTAAAAAAAACTTTCCGCTCTCCTTTCACCCTACGGTATCATACCTTTCCCCTTTAAATTTAGAACACCCACCCCATCTGCGAGCCAAGCCCCCTTACCGGCTACACACGGCCTTAACACCAACCCCAGAAAACACAAGAAAAAGCAAAAAAGCGAACGGAACCTTAAAAGGGGGCGAACCCGAAACCGAGATGGCGGATATCTTCACATTCGACCACGACCCTACCCCCCACGACCTCGATTCCCCCGCCTTGACGAAGCCGGTTTACGGTTTTGGCGGCGGCCGTCGCCGCGCGAGTATTACCGCTGCGGCAAATGTCGAGGGCGCTGGAAGTGTGAGTAGTCTTGCGGTTGCTGTCGCTGCGGCTAAGATTTCCCCGGGCGTGCCTGGAGGATTGGCGGTGCTGTTTCCGCATTCGGAGGTTTCGTCGCGGGCTCCAAGTGATGCTGGGGATATTGGCGCTGAGAGGGCGCAGGGGAAGAGTGGTGGTGGAAAGAGGAAGAAGAAGTCTAAGAGTAAGAAGAAGAAGGGTGGTACTGGTGCGGTCCAACTGCAGCAGCAACGGCAGCAAGGCAGGAAGGGTGAGGGGAAGAAGGATGAACCGATTGCTACAGTTATTCCGGTTGACGGTGGCGGATTGTGCCCTGATTGGAATTTCGTCAAGAGGAATATCACTCCCTCTCCGTCGAGTTCGAGATCGTCCTCCCCGCCGCGTAGGTCCGGGCTTTCGTCCCTGTTGAGCCAGGCACATCCTGGAGATTTGGTGTCTGTTAGACCTGGAAGCGACACCTCAGTTGAGTCGGAGAATGGGGATGCGCACGCGGGTATGGGGACGTATGAGGTTGCGCTGGATGAGGATTACATTGATGAGGATGTCAATTCCCGTCCTACGTCTCGTGCGGGCCCAGACCAGGGGAGGAAGATGCATGCGGAGGATTTTGAGACTTTGAAGTGTTTGGGCAAGGGAACGTGAGTAGCTTGATTGGGTCCTGTGCCTTGGAGTGAGTTTTGCTGAGCGTGTAATAGTTATGGAACTGTCTTCTTGGTTCGTCAGAAGGACACTGGAAAGCTCTACGCGCAGAAGCAATTTAAAAAGGCGAGTCTGGTGGTCCATAAGAAGATGGTTGAACAGACAAAGACCGAGCGTGCAATCCTTGAGTCCGTCCGCCATCCATTTGTTGTCAAGCTCTACTATGCCTTCCAGGATAAGGAGAAGCTCTATTTGATCCTTGAGTATGCTCAAGGTGGCGAGCTTTTCTTGCATTTGGCGTTGTCAACTTTCTTCCCGGAGACCACCGCGGTATTTTACCTCGCGGAGCTCGTCCTTGCTCTCTCGCATCTTCACCAGAACGTGGGAGTGGTGTACAGGGACCTGAAGCCGGAGAACTGTTTGTTGGACGCAGAAGGCCACCTCCTCTTGACCGACTTTGGACTCAGCAAAGTTAAAACCGATGACTCCCGCTGCCGTTCCTTCCTGGGCACACCCGAATACATGGCCCCGGAGATTCTAAGTGGCGACGGCAAACGGGAGTATGGTGCTGAGGTTGACTGGTGGGGCTTCGGTGCTCTCGCTGTGGACTTGATGTCTGGCGGGCCCCCCTTTACGGGAAACAACACGGCAAAAATCACTCACAGGATCATTCACTCAAAACTCAACCTGCCGTACTTCCTATCCCCGGACGCAAAGGACCTGATCACCCGATTGCTGCGCAAGGACCCGACGAAGCGGTTGGGATACAACATGCCGAAGGATCTACATACGATCAAGAATCACAGATTTTTCAGAAAAATTGACTGGGAAAAGTTGGAGCGCAGGGAGCTTGAACCGCCGATCAGACCACTCATCACCGACCCCGAGCTCGCGGAGAATTTCTCGACGGATTTTACGGGGTTGGGATTGAGTCCGCCGGTCATGTTTGCTAGGGGAGACAAGGAGGACGAGGAGGGCTTGTTTGGTGGTTTCAGCTTTGTCGCGTCGACGAGTGTGTTGGGGGAGAGGTATTAGGCTTGTGGACTTTGTGATGCCGAAGGGTGAAGGCGGAGGTGGGGATACATGGCAGAGGGGTGGCTACTAGACTGTGCTCTTTCTAAAGTTTCTGGACAGCCTAGAATAATTGATGTGGAATTGCTTCGTTTTTTTTCTTTTTTCTTTTTTCCGTGTTTTACGTTACTTTTTACAAGCTCCGCTGTTAGTGCTTAGAAGTTTCTTATTCTTATCCTTAATACTACAATGCTTTATCCATTCTTTACATACTCTTCAAGCTATTTCCTAATTTTGGGATCGAATAGTGTTCACGATAAGCGGGTTGTAAACGGATGCATGGGAGTCTTGTACTTGGGTTATATGTATTTAGGTTTCCGCTTTTCACATGTCGGAGTATTGGACTGAGTTTGGGATATGCTCCAATGGATCGGAGGAGCATTGGCCTGGGGCAGGTGAATTCATGTGACCGGGAGGGTGCTTTCTTTCTTTCCATTTTTCATGATGCTTTTGGCGCGTGTAGACTGGTGAGCTGGGCGTTAAATTTATGTGCTGCGGGTTCTATAATGCATATGCGATACATACAGTATCAATACTATACTGTGCCAAGTTGGCCTAAGAATTCATTATCGTATTGCACTTACTATAGTACCTTTCCCTTATGTACTGCGCTGTACTTGTACTGTACCGGTACTCGCTCGGGCACAGCGGGTATCACACTGCACTGTACCCACGAGTGCTCTTTTGACAAGCAGGCGAACAAACCAAATCGTAATGAGAAGGTGGGGGTGGTCCGCTCTTGGCTGCGTGTTATGGGAGTTTCCTGTTAAATTTACAGTATGACGCGGTATAGTGACTTTACTAGCGCCGCAGCTGCCCTGTCGATAAGATCATTTCCGTGACAGCCATCCACCGACTTGGCATGTTATACACACATTTGGACCACTGGTAGAAGGCGGGCTGGAGGTGCTGTACTGTACTTTGGTTCACTGATGGTATTATATATTCTGGTATCATATCATAATTTCTTGGTGGCTATTCATTTTGTATTCTGCTCCTGGCGAAGTTTTTGGATGAGGTTTACCTTACGATTAATTTTTTGAGAGCTGCCTGACCTGGTCGGCGTGCGGAAGTGTCAGTGCTTGAGGGTCGCGGTCCACTTGTTGGGAGGTGGGGATATAATAATATTAGATGTGAATGGATCGTGGCATAGCGGGAAAAAAAAAGAATGGGAACCCGAGAGTCCTATGGGGCATACATAGTAGAGAATGGTTTGGATGGCGGGTGGAGGGACCTTTACTGGTGCTCCCCCATCGTATTGGAGCGCTCCACGAATACCGGCACAACACAGTACAGTACTGTATTATACACCATATCCCCTCCATTCTCCGGACGTCAGGGGGTCATCACTTCTTCCTCGTGCGCCTGGCACCCCAAGGTGCTTCCATATCTCTCGGGCTGTGTTTGTTCGGGGGGTTTTTGGCCACGGTTATAATAGCTAGATTGTATATTCACAAAACCTTCACTTGAGCCTACCTGGGTCTTGCCTCCTCCTCGGACCCGGCCTGGCGTGGAGTAGAGTAGGCTTTCGGTGTGCTGTGCCGGTATCACGATATCGTTGTGTCGTGACTGATCTTGTGTGGTAAAAGATGTTTTGTGGTGTGGTCCGTCGTCATCGTAATTTCATTGCAATATATTATTACGTGGAGATGCAGCCAAGCGTAACTAACCTTATGGAAAAGCGGTAAGTTAGGGAAGAGGACAGTATGCTTTTTGGTTTCCTATACTAGAACCTATAGCTGTTCCAGCAAGTTGGATGGAATACTGGTATAGTGTGGTACTCGAGTTATGGTTGGTTTGAAATGAGGGGATGGGAAAGGAGCTCCAGTTTCGGCTGATAGTCTACAGGTACGGTGTCAAACTGTATAAATGTGGGCTGCCCACGGCTTAATTGAGAAGGGTATATTAAATTACGTGGTTTGTCGAAATGCCAGTGATTTACGGTTGAGTTCGAGATGCGATAGGTGGACTGGTATGGGACCTGCCCCACAGCACTGATTACGAGTGCCGGGGGCAATGCAGATAAGCGGTATTTGTTCACTCAAACCTTTGATGCCAATCAGCGCTCTTCTCGCCCTAGAACCCAAGGCTGATCTGTAGGCAAAATCGGGTAGGTGAGCTGGCGTTCGGTGAGAGAGAGCTTTCTCGCAGTAGCACTGCCAGGATATGGTGATTGAGGGAGAGCATCCTTGTGTAACGCCAGAACCTTACAAGTTACCGCCCCCCTCTCCCTTCAGGACTTAAAAGATTCTCTGGAACTCCGAAGGAAGCCAGTTTCTCATTTCACACGAGCCCTCTGTCTCGCGAAAAACGGATTGCAGCACAAATGTCGTCAGGGAACCAGCAGATTACGGGTAACATCAACTCGTTCAATACGAGTATTGTCAACTTCATTACAGATATAGACGCCGAGGGGCGCCAAATTCTACAGTGGTTGTCGCCCCTTGAACCACAGCAACGGCACCAAGGTGTGCGAACCGACCGACTGGATGGCGTGGGAAACTGGGTACTAGAAACCAGCGAGTTCAGAAAATGGAGGGATACGGAGGATGATTCCGTTGAGCAAGTGCTGTTCTGTTATGGGAATCCAGGGGTGGGGAAGACGTACCTCAGGTAGGAAATCCTTTTCCCGGAGCGGGACATGGTAGGTATCGCTGACGATGGGCGAGTAACAGCTCCCTAGTTATTGATAGCCTGTGCGATCATGCTGGAGGGGGGGACGTTGCTGTCGTGGGACTCTACTGCGATTACCTGACCCAGCAGGAACAGTCGGCTACAAACATGCTGGGCGCCATCCTCAAGCAACTTGCTAGTAGGGAAGGAGTGCCGGAGAATATACGGGAAGCTTTTCGGAAGGCTAAAAAACAGTTTGGTGGGCGGGGTCTTCGACTCCCCGATCTGGTAGAAATTCTGAAGAATGCTATTACATCGCTACCCCGGGTATTTATTGTTAGACTTTTACGTTTTCCTTTTGAACTGCTCACCACTTCTATAGCCACAGTTCACCGATGTGCGACACAACTACAACTAGCGGTTCCTGATTGTTTCACCACCTTAACCTCAGACACATCTCGAACCACTACCAGCATATCAACCACATCCAAGTCAAACATCCACTTGTCTCACGACGAAACGCAGTAAGGGCAATCATGACCGGAGAACCTTATGGTCCTCGGCCCTACTCTTCCACCCTCGGCACATCAGTTCAGTATACCCACGGCTACTCATCTTTTGCCTCGGGTATGATATGGATAAGCATGGGTGTATCGCAATACCATTGGAATTGGATAGGAGACTTGGTAGGAGAAGAAATAGGTGGATACTATGTGATGGAAAGTATATAAAGAAGCTGGTTCTTCTCGTTCCTTTTGTCCTTAAGTAAACAAGCCGAGTTTCCTTCACGTCGTTTTCTATCACGGTTTAGTCATTCGTTTCATATACCTTTCCTTCTTTGAATTCTTCTTGATATTTCTATTTGCTCGTACCAATAAACCTCTCGTGTTGTTCGAATCGTCAAGGATTAGATCCGCTGTGCCCCACCAACCTATAAATCGTACAAAATTTATATGTATCGACGCCTTGGACGAATCCGTTCCGAAGCACCGGAGGGAGCTGCTTGAGCCGCTACGAGAAATCATTCGGGTATCACCAAACGCGCGGGTATTCCTGACCGGGAGGCCCTATATTGTCGATGAAATCGGAGAATGTTTTCGCAGGGTGGTTAGGATACCTATTAGTCCTTCCCGGGGTGATATCAAGACTTATCTGGAGAAGAAGTTGGATGGTGACACTGATCCTAATGCAATGGATAGCGAATTGCGGGAGGATATTATGAGAGTTATTCCGGAGAAGACATCAGAAATGCAAGTAGTAATATCAATTGCACTCCAAATGTAATCCTGGGTTGTCATTTATTAATAATGGTGTCTAGTTTCCTTCTCGTTTCTCTAAATATTGATACCATTTTGGGCGAGATTACACTCCATCAGAGAAGGAAAAAGCTTGAGGAGATGGCCGTAGGAAGGGGTCTCGGCGATGCTTACGAGGCAACGTTGTTACGAATGAAGGCGCAGCAAAGAAGCAGGTCGAAGCTCGGCATGGGGGCCCTAATGTGGGTATCGCATTCGGAGCGGCCATTGCGTGTCGACGAATTATGCCATGCCCTTGGGGTAGAAGAAGGATCTGTCGACTTGAATGTTCGTAATATTCCTGCGATAGAAACATTGCTAGCATGCTCTTTGGGGCTCATAACGGTTGATAAGTCCTCGGCCACGGTCCGCCTTATTCACTATACACTGCAAGAGTATCTCTCCCATAATTTGAATTTGTTCCCTCAGCCCCACTCGATAATCGCCGAGGTCTGTTTGACGTACCTCAACTTTCGGCATATCAGGGGTTTATCGGCTGCTCTTCGTTCTTCCCCGCCAACCGCCCCTTTTGTCGAGTATGCTTCTTGTTACTGGGGTATACATGCTAGACGACAAACGACTGAAAGTGTGAAAGAGCTTGCACTGAAAATATTGGATGGATACGATAAGCACATATCTTCAAACTTGCTGGTATTGCATGGATTGGATTATTGGGATTGGCCTTTGGATGGGCAAGGCAACCCTGGGGGGTTTACAGGACTTCACGGTGCCGCATACTTCGGATGTGTGGAGATAACGGTTGCTTTATTGGAAATAAATAAATTGGATGTGCAGGCATCTGATTTCGAGGGAAACACAGCAATCGCTTGGGCTGCCAGGATGGGACATGAGGGGGTCGTGAGGGCGCTTCTGGGACAAACCGGCGTTAATCCCGACGCGGCCTCCAGATATGGCCGAACACCGCTCTT